GCAGTTTGGCGTTGGCATTCATCACGCCGGGTTGTTAGGGGAGGACCGCACAGTGGTGGAGAACGCATTTCTTTCAGGAAAGCTGCAGATTCTGGTGGCGACTTCGACTCTTGCGTGGGGCGTTAATTTTCCCGCACACATGGTGGTGGTGAAGGGCACGGAGTATTACGATGGGAGGACCAAAAATTACGTGGACTACCCCATCACAGACGTGCTGCAGATGGTTGGTCGGGCGGGTCGTCCGCAGTTCGATACAGAAGGGGTTGCACAGGTGTTGTGCCACGAGCCCAAAAAGGGTTTCTACCGCAAGTTTCTCTACGATCCCTTTCCGGTTGAGAGTACGCTACACAAACAGTTGCATGTACACATCAATGCTGAAATTGTTGCCGGGACCATCACGACACGACAGGATGCCGTGGACTATCTGACGTGGACGTATCTTTTTCGCCGGCTTGTGAAGAACCCGTCGTACTACGGCGTGGAGGACCGCTCGCCAAAGGCGGTTACAATTTTTATCTCCACACTTGTTGCCAACGTTTTAGACGAACTTGAAGCCTGTGGCTGCATCGCGTCACCCGGAGATGACGAGGAGGACGATGTGAGTCGTAAAGTGACTGGAATGAGTGCTGCTGGCGGCACTGATGATGAAAAGGACCCGGACGCTTTGACGTGTACTGTCCTCGGCAGGCTATGCTCATACTACTATCTCTCACACAAGACCGTCCGTTACTTTGATGCACACATTGGGGCGGACAGCTCCCACGTGGATGTCCTGAAGGCGTTGTGTGAGGCGGAGGAGTTTAATGAGTTGCCTGTGCGGCACAATGAGGACAAACTCAATCTGGTGCTCAGCCAATTATTGCCATTTCCTATTAATCCAAACAACGCGGAATCCCCACATGTGAAGGCGTTTCTGCTCTTTCAGGCGCACTTTGAGCGGGCTAGTTTGCCCATTTCAGACTACTACACGGACCTGAAGTCCGCACTTGACAATGCCGTGCGTGTCGTGCAGGCGATGGTCGACATCACGTCAAATAACGGGCATCTGTACGCTGCGCTGCGATGCATGTCGTTGCTTCAGTGCATGGTGCAAGGCATTTGGTGGCACTCCAGCACCCTGCTTCAGATACCACACGTCACGGCGGGAATGTTACCAGTGATTGCTTCACGCTGCGGTAACCTTGAGCACGCGGCGCAGGTTGCAAATAGTTCCATCACCGCGCTGCAAACATTAAAAGCGGTGCTCCGCGAAGACTGTGGCCTGAGTGAGACGCAGCTGCGCGAGGCGATGGCGGCCATACAAGGGTTTCCTCTCATTGATGTGCGACTCTGTCTCTCCCGCACCCCCGACCGAACCTCCAACAGCGGGGACGCGGAACACTCGGATGATGGATCAAAAACAGCCGCCGATGTGACCTACACACTGACGGTGCACCTCACACGTCTTTCAGTTCATAACAAACATGTCGTGGCCCCGCACTTCACGAAACCAAAGGATGAGCAGTATTGGCTAGTGGTGGGCAACGAGAAAACGGGTGAGTTAATCGCCTTGAAGCGCGTGAACCGGCTTGTGAATTGTGTGGAGTTGACGTTGAGTTTTGAGTGGGACGACGAGTGGGCCGAGTTTGCAGAGGGCGGCGCGGTGGCTCTCAGTCTGTACGTCGTGTGTGACTCGTACGTTGGGCTCGACCAGCAATACAACTTCAGCGTGCCAGTGCCCGTGGACATGTGACATGACGAGGAGTACAAAAGGGTGAAGGAGAAGGAAAAAAGAAAAGGAGGTGGGTTGGAACAGTTGGGGAATGGACTCGAAGGAAGGAGGCGTGTGTGTGTGTGTGTGTACGGATAGGAATAAACCGGAGCGAGGGAAAGTGGGGGGGAAAAGATACGAAGGCTGCACGAGTAAAAGTGGTGGCATGGCGATGGTGGAGGAAAACAGTAACTTATTTATTTAATTATTATTATTTTTTTTTGCGGCCATCCATGATGCGGCGTGTTTTGAATTACTTTTTGCACACCCAATTTTTCGGCCTCTTATTATTATTATTTTTTCTCTTCGTTTCTGTTGGCTTCGCTTTATTACTTCACATCGCCACCACAAACAAACACGCACACACACAAACGCAGTTCTGCTGTCGTGTCCTTCTCTCATTCCCCCCGTTGCAGCAGGCAGTAACAGCGGCGACAATGGGCGCTGCCCCAATAATCACCGGGCGTTGTTTTTGGGGCAGACGGACGACGCCCAATGGCCCACTGGTATACACCGCTGTCGGCTCTCAAAAGGGGAGTGATGACCGCCGGAGGACACCGATCAGTTTTATCGGAAACACGTACTATGAGCGGCGCTTCGGGGGTTCGAGGTCAACCCAAAGTACACCACTTGGCACCTCGTTGGCACTGCCGTCACTCCGCAACGGGGACATTCTTGTGAAGATGGGCTCTGCCACACCGGCGTCGTTGCGTGGCCGTCGCATTGTTGACGTGACGGGTATACAGACAAGTTTCTTTGATGCCTCAGAACGAAACGCCCGTGCGCGTTGTTGCATCGACGACGTTGTACATTCGATGCATATGCACGACGGCCACGAGGTGCCGGAGTTGAACCGTGGCACTGTTGACATTGGCAGGCTCACCGTGTTGTGTGCATTTCCTGTTGCCGGCACGGCTTCTCTGCTCGTGCTGGAGAATGCCTCGCAAGCTTTGTTGAAGCGGCGGTCATTGGGGTACCGCAGCGAGGAGGAGGGCGTGCAGCTTGTGCGGGTTATCGCAGAGAGTTGCCGTGCCGCTGCGTTGCGCAGGATTTGTCTCCATCCCGTCATGCGCAACGATTGCATTGTTGGTGTCCGTCTTTAGCGGGGCACCGAACGGGGTGTGGATATTGAAGTGGGCGCTGTATATATATATATATATATATATATATATGTGTATGTGTGGGAAGTGGCGTTTGTGTTTTTCCCGTCTCCAAACCGGGTTTTGAGGGACGATAGGCCGTTGCTGCTGTTTTTTTTTCTTTTTTTCTTTTTTCCTGGTGTGTTTGTGCGGGAGGGAGTGACACGGCAATGCCGAGCGGACCCAAGTCCAATAAATATGTGAACCGCCACGCCGCGGAGGCCCGCGAGCGCGATCAGGAGCGCCAGGCGAACGCGAAGGCTGCGCGGGAGAAGGATAGGGAGGACGCCATGTGGGCGGAGGACGATCAAAAACAGCTGAAGAAGCAGGAGAAACAGCGTGAGACGGAGGAGAAGATGCGGAGGCAAGCCGAGCTGAAGGCGGAGCGGAAGGAGCAACTGGAGCAGGAGGAGCGGGAGTTGGGCCAAAAGGTGCCGCAGAAAGTGACAAGGCGGCAGCTGCAGAAGGATCTATCCAAGATGCTTAGCGACTACGATAAGCTTAAGGAGAAGGAGCGGCAGCGGCAGCCCGGGGCTCTTGTCAAGGACGTGGGTGCTGCGCTGCCGGAGGGCAACCCGAACAGGATGGCGAAGAACGATGACAGGAACAACAGCAGCAACGAAATCAAAGCAACTGGTGGCATCAGTGACGCGCTTTCGGCGTTGCAGTCTGGCATGGGAACGGGCGGTGTGTCTGTGCCGGAGGATCGCCACATTGGCAGGCGTGCACGCGTTGTTTACAGGAAATTCTGTGAAGAGCACCTTCCCAGGCTGCGTGAGGAGAAGCCCGGGCTGCGCCGTCCGCAGTACAACGACTTGCTGTGGGAGATGTGGCAGAAGAGTGAAATGAACCCCTTCGTGCAGCGCAGCGAACAGCGGTCCAGGGAGCGCCTTGAACAGGAGCGCCGGTGGATGGAAGGGGAGGATGACGACGAGAGCGATGGCGGTAACGAGGCGGAGAAGGAGTAGGGGAAGAGCGTCTAGAGGATTGGAAAGGGGGGGGGGGGGGGGGGGG